CCCTGAAAAGGGTGCTCCTCGCCGGTGCGGTCGCCGCCCGCGGGGCGGGCGGGGCCGCCTCCAGCTGGCACGGCGCCCAGCAACCGGTCCCTGAGTCTCCGTAGCCGCTCAATCTCCTTGGTCACTTCCTCCTTGTCTCGGAGGTCCTTCATGCCCAAGGCCACGCCGCCGACCTGGTTCTTGCAGACCATGGCGACGTGGTTGGGCTGGCCGCAGCGGTAGCAGCGGTACTTCCTCTTGATGACCCAACATTGGTGTCGGTCTCCGACCATGGCCCCGCAGTGCTCGCACATCCGCGTGCCTGCCATCGCTCGGTCCGGGCCTGGCGCGGTCGCCTGCGCCTCCGCGGCGGTGACTGCCGCGCGCCCCTTGGTCGGCACCCGCTCGGCCGGTGGTTGGGTGTTCCTCGTCGCCCGGTCGGCGGCCGTCCGCTGGCCGCCCACCGCGCGCTGGTGGGCTGTCGCCGGGTCTCTGGGCCGCCCCGCGTCGATCCTGCATGCCCCGGCCTGCGCTTCGGTTCCTGGGGTGCCCGCGCCCCGGACGGCGGCGCGCTCCTGCGCCCATAGGCGCCGCTCTACATCGAGCATCCGCGCCCACATCTCCATTGGGGGTGGATCGGCCCGTGCCCCTTTTTTACTCTTTTTGCCGAAAATTGACCATATGGCCCCCGTCACCATCTGCGCGCACATGGTGGTGACGGTGGTAGCCACGAAGTGGCGCACCGTGGCGTCCACCCGCAGTCCCATGGACCACATGGCCCACGCGACGGGCACTCCGAGGAGGGCCGTGACCGGCTTAGCCCCCCGGCCCGCGCTCCTTGTCAGCCTCCCGAGGTAGGCCTTCGCGATCCAGAGGGCCATCACGATGATGACGCCCTGGTACAGCCTCCTCTCGAGGGTGTTGGTAACCAGACCCATCCACGCATGGATGGATCCAGTAGCTGTCGCCATGTAATTTGAGATCATTACAAACTCTCGCATCGTCTACAGTTACTCCTACGTTTTTTCTAAAAATCCCCCTTTCCCAAAAACCCCCATTCTAACTACCGATAGTAACCTT